TCCGATTCTCTCCCTGTCCCACCGTGGGGGAGTGAGCGAGCGGCTGCATGGGACTTAGTTGCCAGCTGGGGCTAAACCACAACAAGTGGGAAAAAATACAGGAGTACTATAGAGGCAAGAAAAAGGAGGCGTGGGTAGTCTGAGGGGATTATTGATTTTTTTTTTTTTTTTTTAAAAGTGGAGGAATCCAAGGAGAGTTGCCGGCTAACTCATTGTGGGCAGGGACTGTTTTACTGTGTGGTGGTTTAATGCAGTGGCACCCTAACCCTCAAAGAAAGCAGGCTGAGCTTTGGAAGAAATTTTTTTTTTCTGCCATAAGAAACATTGATGTTCCATTTGCTTTTGGAAATGGGAAAGCCTCGTTGCATTCCTGTAAAGTATGTCTAGCTTCTCCTATTTTAAGAAGCATAATATTAAAAGTACAGTTGTTATTTTCTGGATACTTTACTGCAGTTGGCATTCTTGTGGGTAACTGCTTATCTCCTGGCAGTATGCCTCTTCATGAAGGTTAGTGTTATTCTCAGATAAGAGATTTATCTTTTACCATCTTTTTGCATAAACCATGGCTATTTTTGCTTCTATAGAAAGTGTAGCTATTATATGCCATTTCTGTGTTTAAAAGCATATATGGATGTACTATGAAAAGAAGAACTGGAGTTCTAGACAGTAGTCTGCTACGCTTGCCTTAATTTCAGTGTGTTGTGAAACCTGCAGTGCCCTCAAGGCTCCTGTTTGGGGTAAGGATGGGAGGAGAGATCATTCTAGCATCACACATGCTCACATTTTCATTAGCAATTTTGATCGTGTTGACTGCCCAATTAGCTACTCCACTAATGTTATTTTAAATATTTCTAGAGGTTAATCATGCAAGCGGAATAATGGAATATTAGAATTCTTACAGTACAGACACTGACCCTGATGCTGAGTTAATCTACTCTGCTTTCTTGTCAGTCAGGAAGAATCTTATGGATGAAGGAAGGGCTTAGGACAAGAATTGGTTGTCATAAAGAGTAGAATTGCCTCTTCTCTAGCCTCTGTACCAAAATATCTTAGACTTTTGTTCAGATGTTTGAGCAAGATAAAAACTGAATAAAATATAGATGCCTGTTAAGGATAAATGATAAAGGTGGCTATTAGAGCTGTTCTGTGTCAGCATAGCTGTGGACATGGTGAGATACGGAGTGCTCTGCTCTGCTGAGTGACTGACATGGACAGGAGTCACAATATTAGGTCTGCAGGCTTTGGGTCTGGCTCCCATTTAAAACAAAAAGTAAGTACAAGGATGAACAGTAGCACTTATCTCTCATATGCCTTTCTCCTCCTAGACTTCATTGATTTCTTATTTAAACCTTTCTGGCTTGGGATCCAAACCTAAACTAAACTAGGTTAATTTGTTGACAAAATACAAATTACTACCTTCAGGTTTTTTCTTGGGAAGCTCAATGCGATTCATCTGAAATGATGACATTGCATTTCATCTGAAATGCGGTCTGGGAAAGGCCTAGTGTCGGACAATGGAATTTGAGACTAGTTTCAAACCCCTACTAGAAAGTGCATTGGTTGACCAAAGAGTGATGCTCTTCCCCAGTTCTAGAACAAGCTTTATTAAAACAGAACTATTACTTGCTTGCATTCTCCTTTGTACTAAAGAGGAGAACTCTATCACTTTTCAGTAGTGAGTCCTAAAATGATGAAATGCATTAAGAGTATGCTACAGGCAATCAAGCTGCAAATTGTTTAACATATTTCTCCTGGTGGCTTCTAGAGTGGGTTGATACAGAGTTTCTAAGACTGCTTTGTGTAATATGTGTCCTGTTGTCCTGTTTGATGAAATAGGTGTTGCCAAAGTATTTTACTGGTGTTACCATCAGCGATATGATGTCTTGTTTGGAGCAGTCTTGACTTTGCTGGAGTTCTAGGAGCCTTCTTGTAGAGTTTCATTATAGTGTTTGTAGTCTACATTTTAGCCTCAGAGATTTTTGAAATTGGGGACCCAGCACTAGGAAATATCTGGTTTCATTCAGAGAGCTACGTCTCACTATTTACTCTCAAGAGAGGAGTCAAAACAGCAGGTAAAGAAAATGCATAGGCCTGTTTTGATGTGGAAAGCATTAAAGAAATAGAACAGACCTGTTTAAATGCAAGGTATGTGTAAACAATTTTTTCCACTCACTTCTTAATTCTTTTTTTCCTGTCTGGATGAGAAAGAATCATCCTTTTGAGGTGATAGATACAAGCTGTAACTGACTGCATGTGTCACTGGCATATTCTAGGATTGACATCAATGGAGTATCAAAGGTGTGGACATTGCAATCAGTGCCTTTAAGCTTTTTATGGCATCCTTTTCATTGAGAATGGTGGGAGCCTATGTAAAAAGGTAATGAGAATCTGATAGAAACAGGCAGAGAGAGCAGATGGGAAATTCAGTTTTTCCAGATCTGGAAAAACGTTATCCTGGATAATTGGGCAAGAATCCACAGCTTTTTTGTACATTTTTTTTTTTTACAGTCTCAGGCAAGCTGTTAGCAAATGGGGTGAAAAATGACCATGAGTTTCTCTTTACCAGTGTGACAAGGAGCACATTTTGAAGACTGGTTAGGAAGCATTAAAAAGGCTATCCTGTGCTGCTGCTTGGGAAGTCTGTGGCTCCCAAGACAGTTTCCAGAGACTCAGCAACTCTGTGAATCTACTGTTAAAAGTAAGATGATGAAGCTGAGGCCTTTGATTTCCTGGCAACTTGGTGCCCATCACCAGGCTGCAAATGTTGTGTCAATAGCCATGCATGTACCCACTCCATGGTTCTCTGAGGTGACAAGATCAATGAGGTGGGAATTAATAATTTCAGGAAACATGTTTAGGACATGTGGTTTGGTTTGGAAAATGGTTTTCATTTGAGCTGTTCAATCAAAATCTTGCATTGTTTTTTTGAACCTAGATTTGATTAAAAAAAAAAATCTCTTGAATTGTCACTTTGCATCAGCCCGTTGGTCTTCTAGGAGAAGTCAGTTGCTTTAGTAGTGTAATTGTCTGACTTTTGCATAGTTTTCAGAGGTAACTAAGAATTTGCGGTGGACTTATTTGCTAAGACCAGTATATAGCCTCGTGTCCTGTTTCCTGGCAGTGGCTGAAAGTAAGCGGAAAAGAACAGTATCATTACATGCTTGTCCTCTTAATATAATTCCCTGAGTATTCTCCCTGCTGCTGGTTTGCAGCTTGGGGACTTACTGAGCCAGAGGTGCTTTCTGACTAATTAGTACCTGTGGAGGGACGATCCAGACCGAGTGGCAGTGCTTTGATGGGAGGGTCTGACCTTCTGTTGCACTGGGCCCGAGCTTGCCTGGGCCGCGGTGCAGCGATGCCGCTGGGCAGTAGGCACAGCAGCCCCCAAGGAGGTTCAAACTCGTTTGATACCGAGGAGGTATCAACTATGCCCTGGCAGCTCCGCTGCTAGTGCTCCTGAGGAATGGCTGGCTGGCGCCTTGGTGGTCTCCTCTTACTTGGGATGCCAGGTTAAGGATTATTCCTTGGGAACTGAGTGATACCTGTTAGGCATACTGTAAGCAATTTTGGAGTAGAAGCAGAATAGTCCCCACTGAGAGGGTTGTCCACACAAGTACCTTATTCCAATAAACCTCACTTTGTACCTCACACTCAGAACCTTATTCCTTCAAGGGGTAGATAGCATATTTTGTTGTTGTTGTTGTTGGTTTTTTTAATTATTTTTGGATAGCCTTAAGAATTTAAGTTTCTTTGGTTCAGACGCACCATTCTGGATGTTTGCATTCTGTTGTTGCATTAATTGTATTTCTAGGTAGTAGAAAGGTACAGTTGAGAGAAGCTTGCAGGTGACACCAAGTTGGATGGGAGTGTTGATCTGCTGGAGGGTAGGAGGGCTCTGCAGAGGGATCTGGACAGGCTGGATCGATGGGCTGAGGCCAACTGTGTAAGGTGTAATAATGCCAAGTGCCGGGTCCTGCACTTGGGTCACCACAACCCCATGCAATGCTACAGGCTTGGGGAGGAGTGGCTGGAGAGCTGCCTGGTGGAAAAGGACCTGGGGGTGCTTGTTGACAGCTGGCTGAATATGAGCCAGCAGTGTGCTCAGGTGGCCAAGAAGGCCAGCAGCGTCCTGGCCTGTATCAGAAATAGTGTGGCTAGCAGGAGTAGGGAAGTGATTGTGCCCCTGTACTCGGCACTGGTGAGGCCGCACCTTGAATCCTGTGTTCAATTTTGGGTGCCTTACTACAAGGAGGACATGGAGGTGCTGGAGCGTGTCCAGAGAAGGGCAACGAAGCTGGTTGTGGGGTCTGGAGAACAAGTCCTATGAGGAGCGGCTGAGGGAACTGGGATTGTTTAGTCTGGAGAAGAGGCGGCTGAGGGGAGACCTTATCGCTCTCTACAACTACCTGAAAGGGAGTTGTGGTGAGGTGGGTGTTGGTGTCTTCTCCCAAGTAACTAGTGATAGGGCGAGAGGAAATAGCCCCAAGTTGCACCAGGGGAGGTTTAGACTGGATATTAGGAAAAATTTCTTCACAGAGAGGGTGGTCAAACACTGGAACAGGCCATGCAGGTAGGTAGTGGAGTCACTATCACTGGAAGTATTGAAGAAACGTGTGAACATGACACGTGACAACGTGTCCCATGACTTCGGGACATGGTTTAGTAGGCATAGTGGTGTTGGGTTGATGGTTGGACTTGATGATCTTGAAGGTCTTTTCCAACCTTAATGATTCTATGATTCTGTGAATATTGAAAAAATTAATTTGCCTAAGAGAAGCGCAGCTTGTGGAAGGGCGACGTGAAGGGCTAGCAAGTGCATAATAGGAATTCTGTTTTGATGGCATCCCCTCTGGTCAGGGCTATAGTGAAAGAAAGAAACATTTTAGAATGGTAAGAGTGTTATCTTTAGTAAACTCTATCCATTGCATTGTCTCATCTGCAGCATGTAATATTTTAACACACTCTTCTTTTAACTTGGCAGGCAAGTATCTGCTTCCCAATGCAACTGGACAACAGCTGTGGCAACCTGCAGAAACCTCTAACCTTGTTCGCATGCGCTACCAAGCACTTGGGAAGTCAGCACCTTCACTTACTGTTAGTTTGGTGAGTAATTTTTTTCAAAGCTAGGTATGTTAAAAAAAAAAAAAAAATTATTGCATTTTTGTATCTATTGGTTGAGGGGGTTGCGGATCAAACCAGAGTTCTTTCCAGTTCAACCTTTCTTCCTCAACCTGCATTTTAGAAGTACCTAATGCATACCTGCATACAAAATGACTTCCTGTGTTGAGTGCAGCTGAGTAATGTTTGTGGTAGCAGTAACTCTGAATTGGGTTACTGGATTTTGCATAAAGTCTGACCTGAATGCTGCATTAATACAGCTGTTTGCATTTAAATGGTTTCCTTACTTAAAAAAAAAAAGTATGGTAACTCCTTTCTTCTGAGCATTCTTTTCTATTCTTTTCTTCAGTGTCTTTGTTTTCACTTTCTGCAGGACTCTGTCATCAGGAGAACATGGGTGTATAAAGCATGAGCTTAATTAAGTCTTTTGGATAAAATGATGAGCGAAGAGAAAGGGGAAGGGATGCCTCATACACCTGAACTTTCAGCTTTTTTTTTCAAGCATCCAGTACACTGCTTTGTGCTTCCGTATATTAAGATCTTAAGAAGTGCTGAAATTTAATGCAGGATCCCATATACTAGCCTGTACTTTTCTTCAAAGAATTACTTTAATGAATATATTTCACATTGTATAAAAAAAACCAGAAGAGTTTTATTAATTCCCACCCAGCCTTTGGCTGGTTATTAAAACTTGCTGATCCATATCTACATTCTAGGGGAAACTTGCTCTTTTTTTATACAATGTTTAGGTTAAAGGTGGCTATGATCAGATAATGCTGAACAGATAGCACCATGCCAGTTTTTCATATTGGTATGTAGGTGGCTGGTTTCTTCATGAATCTATCTGAAATACTATTTCACTTCAAATGCAACAGATCTTTACTTACTAATGTAGTCATGGTTTCTGCTTAATGGTGGCATTAATTGTTTGTGGCTCTTTGAGGCAGATGTGGTTTATTGGACTCCATGCTTACTTACAAACACTTGATTCTACTGGAGGTTCTATGCTTTGAATTAAGCATCGACCTATGTATTTTTGTTTTCTAGTTTGTTAAGAGAAACATAGCTAATTGTGAAGGAAGTATTCTGATTATGTATAGTTGAAATGAAAATAGAATTAGATGAATGGTCAGAAGTCAATTTAAATTGCATCAAAACTGTACATCTTTTCCTTATTTTCTGTAGCTGGGAATTAATTTTTTTTTTTAATGATCTAAATTAACTAAATGTAAGAAGTGCTGTGTTGTTGCTGTTTGCACAACTATTAGGTGTAATGCTACTAGCAGCATTGTGCTTTTGTCTTGGTGTAATGCTTAAACTATAGGAAGATTCAGCATCATTTTGACAGAACGTATTTTAAATGGTCATAAAACACCAGACTAATGAAATATTCAGCGAGCCATGCTCTCTTAAAGGCCTTTCACTCATTGCCTATCAAGTTTTACGGCATATTTGTCTGCCACAGAGTTCTTCCTTCCTGTCCCTCCACATCTTTTATCTCTGCCTGACTGCAGCTTCTTTCATGCTGGTGCAAAAGCAGGCCAGATCCTTCCTTCTGTGCTGACTGGAGCAGACTGTGCACGGGGTGGAGGTGCAGGTTCCTCAGAAGTATTTATTTCTTAACTGGGACTGCTGATCAGACTTGCCTCCTAAGGAGGTTATAGTTACATTATCACATAGGCAGAGCGCTTCTCGAGCCTCCTTTGGCAAACACTTTGCTGTCAGACTTCTGAAAGACTCTGCCCTTTGCTTAAAAGGGGCCATAAGTTAGGGGTCACTTCCCTCCCCCCTCCCTTTTTTGTCTCTGTTCAGTGTTCTGACAGAGTTGAGTTTGGGAGGCCTGTTGTTGTGTTCTAGTAATGGGAGCTTTAAATCATATTTAGGAAAGAGTTTGACCTTATGTAGAAGAGATACATTGTATGAAGAATTTCTGTGTAGATGTTCGCATCTGAGATGAAAAGATTTTAGACGTAATGTCTCTTGCTCATCTGAAAAATTATTAGGCTGTTATTAGTTCCTCTACTAGGACTGATGATTCTCGCTGGTGTTGATACCCCACTGGTGTGGACCTGACTGTGAGCAGTGATCATGAGCCAGTGTAGACAAGAATGACAAGTGAGCAGCTCAAAGATACATACTAGTGTTTAGTGGAATTGCAAATATGGTACAAAAGACTTACTTTTACCTTTTTCTGTCAGTTTGTAAAAGCATCCCTAGATTACTTACTGTATCACAGATGTAAATCTTTTCTGTGGGCAATTACAGATTTTTTTAAAGTGAGTTATGGAATATTGATTAAAAATGGGCTGCAGGTGTTGCATTAGATAGAGTTCAATAGCTATGCATGATTCACTCCTGTAATATAAGTGGTTGGACTATAAATTAAAAATACAGTTTCCATATAGAACCGTGTAAGTGGGTTAAAAATGTGGATGGGGAAGGCTGATTTTCAGATGAATGGGCAGTGTATTGGATTTGCTGGGGGCTCTTACTCAGAGGTAATTAAGTGGTAGTCTTGTTACTCTGCTACTTCTGGCAGGAACGTGTTGAGCTGTCCGCAACAGACAGATTCTGTGGTGGTCATGCAGACAACGGGAGTCTGCAGAGGCTATTAAAGTGGACTTAGAAACGTTAAGAAGATTACACAGAGTGTCTTCAACACTAAGTAGAATGGTGAAGCTGAGGCGTGGAGCAGTTCTGCTTTTGGATGTTCTTGCAGGTCAAGTGTCGGACGGGTCTGTCTCTTACTCTCTATAGTCAGTGGAGAATAAATAATACATGCTCCTGGAAGGCAATTCAGAGCATGTGTATCGGTGCTGAGTTTTGTGGGAGTGTAGAGAAACTGTGGTAGAGCTTCCTTATCTGACTCTCCTTGCCCTATATAGGCTGACGGTCATCTTGCCTGATTTCAGGCATCTATTTCAGGGTAGGATGAATCAGCCCCTGAACTTGCTGCTTTTCTACTGATGCGGTTTGGGTGTTCACTTAGAGCTGCTGCCTCTTCAGTGTCTAAAGTTTGGGAGTAGTTCTCCTGTCCTCCTTCAGCCCCGCTGCCACTCCACAAATGTTTACAAATACTATTACTAGTTACTGTTTTGACTTGTCCATTTTTATTACTGCTAGCAGAGTTTTTGGAAAATAGTTCAAAATAAACTGAAATAAAGCCACTTTTTGTTAATATTACATTGTAATAAGCTGATGTGCTTAAAATTATGATAATGAGTCTGAAACTGTCTGAGCAATTGCTTACTATTTTGTAGGCAGAAGTGCCATTCACTGTCTCTGAGTGGCATGGATTGAATGAAATTCCTGATTTTAACTTTTTCTGGATAGCTGCATATGTAAAAACAGTAGAAACCTGAACATAAGTTGCCTTTACAATACAAAATGATAAATGTGTAGGTGATAGGAAGAGAATTTGTCCAAATTAATTGGGTAAAACTTCCGTAGGTTTGCTTTGTCTTCACCATGGATTTAATAATCAAACTCCTGTTTTTGGAGGGGTGTTTTTGTTTGTATTTTTTTTTTTAATAAAAAAGTAATGCTCCTTTAAGGAGCATAAAATCTTTCATTTTGTTTATCTGTTTTATGTAAATAATAAAAAAAAACCCACAAAAAACCAAAAAGCAAAAAACCAAAAGAACACAACAAAGACTCCTTACAGTCCAGAGAGCTTTTTAAGACAGCATATTTCATGACTACTGAATGGTAACTTGCTCTTTAAAATATCCACTTAAGAATATGCAGATAAAGTATATATGTGTGTGTATATATAACTATAAACATATATATGTATATATAAGTCTAAACAAGATCCTCAAATGAACCATGTACATTAACACTTGGCTTTTAAGTTCAATCAAGACTGGTTGTGTAACTTCAGTTTTATGGCAAGTACTAAGGCTTTTCCTTCAGTTGGGCAGGATGAATATTCATGGTATGAAGTAAAGCAAACTCTAAAAGGTGTGTTCTTTCTTCTTGGAAACTTGAGAGATGTCAGTAAAATGACTAAATTTTTACTTGGTTTAAATTGAACATCTTTGACTACTCGTAAATAGTATCTAGCAACTTATCAAAACTGGGAAGAGTGTAAAACTGACCTTTATGAATGGCTTATTCCCTTTCCTAGTGAGCAGCGAAGAGATGTTTTGTATAGGTACGACTAGAAGCATTTGCTACTTTTTAGCATACTATTTACCTCTTTATTTTTCTCAAGATTTACATC